AGTGTCGTTCTAGAAGTACGGTATGTGATGACAAGTAGTGTTGTTCTAGAAGTACGGTATGTGATGAGAAGTGGTGTTGTTCTAGAAGTACGGTAGATGATGACAAGTGTTGTTTTCTAGAAGTACGGTATGTGATGAGAAGTGGTGTTGTTCTAGAAGTACGGTAGGTGATGAAAAATGGTGTTCTAGAAGCATGAGAAATGTTTGATTGTGTTTGGATTTACATGTTATTGTCATACAAGTGTTACATAAAAATAAGATGTTTTTTACATAAGTTACGTAATCTGTAGAAAATCATTCTGAAGTTTCAAATCATCTCATGAAACAGATTTTCTTCACAATACAATAAAGGAGTATTTTTCCCCTTTTTCTTATCACCAGAAAATCGAATCGGTGACGTTATTATAATTTCACATACGTAACATACTGATTTATTTATATAAAATTATGTTAAACGTGGATTTTCATTCAGTAGAAAACCAATAAAGATTCTGAAAACTACTAATTTTATCCATCCTATTTTTTTAAGAATAATGGATAAAATTAATATATATATCACGTATACGTTAGTCATCATGCTTTCCTGGTTCAGTTGGCGGTAAAGAACATTAAAGCCTTATCTCTATTTTTTTTAGTATTTCTTTTGAAAAATTCTTTTATAAGTCCACTGAGAACTAGTTTTAACTAAACGATCATTAGACTTGTGCGCTAAAATTAGCTATTTAGTAAAATTTAATAGTGTGTTTTTTAGCAATCTAACAACTCTTGGATACGCATATCTGGTAATAAAGAAGAAAAGGGAAATACGATGACTACTTTTTTTTAGAAAACTCATAAGAGTTTCTTCTTACAAAATCTAACACTATTTTCCAGTTTATATAAAAACAAAGTTAGGTAAAAGGACGTTTAAAAGCTCTGCAGATTTCACGATGTTAAATTAGATGGATATCGCAGTGTCAATCTTATAATACACACTAGCCTCTAAAGTACGTGGCACGTTTTTACGGCAACGAGACGCGAACTTGGAACCCTCGGACAAGCCAACCACTAGCCAATGCCCGGCCGACTTTATTTAGTGAACGTCTTTGATAGTTAACGTATCACAATAAGACACACAAGGCCCCGGCATGGCCAGGTGGTTAGGGCACTCGAC